AATACCTCTGACACATCAGGACTTCAAGGTAGTTTGCAAAATCTGAGCTTTTTTTATCCTGTGAAGTGATAAATGGAAAAGCCACACAGTACAAAAGTTAGGATTATTTGAAGTATATGCAGATCTCTTGTGCCTTAGCGCCTTCAAAATTGCAAGAGGATGTGTGAATGCGTTTAGAAGGGATGCAAAGACATGAATTGGTTAATTTGAGCACTGCCAGCCATGTAGCTGCAGCAACACATTGCTCAGGTGGATTAGCTGTCTGAGTGTTTGTCCAGCTTCTAAGATAGTCCTGCGTTCATGACAGGTAAGAGCCGACTTAGCTTCTGACTGGCAGTTGCACAGCAATGCTCACTGTATTTACGCTGCAGTTCCTTGCAGGTGTCAGTGCTAGAAAACAACAGCTGAGTTATTTCTGCTCAAAGGACATTAGTGTTAAAGCTTGTCAGTATTTGGAGCTAGGCTATATATCTAGAAGTATTTAGTCAAGGAAGTTTATTTGTTGTGCATGAAATCACATATTGTTTGATAATGCTTAGTTAATTCCCATTCTTTTTGGATAGCAATCAAATAAAGATTTTTGAGTTCTACACAGGTTTTGATCATTTGCCTATTTTTTTTCCATGGTGCATTGCATTCAGAAGGTTGGAGATTTAAAAAATAAAACATATGCTTATTGGGTAGAGAAAGCCAACCAGGGTTATGATGGATTTTTCTAAAAAGCAGATCCCCTTCATTGCATTTATATAGCTCTGATGATTTGAAATCTCAAAATGCGTGCATCTGTAAAATCAGGTGGAGTGGCCGTTTGCCTAAATTACCCAAAATGACACAAGGGAGGAATGAGGAGTGCAAGGCCAGTGGGATGGCAACAGCAGCATATACTGCTGTGGGACTGCAATAGGAGAGGTTTTTGCAGCTAAGAATGGAACTTCTCTAAATCTCCACAATCTGTCTGATGTAACATTTTACATTGCATTTCAGAGCGCTTGGGCGGATAAAGAAAGAACTCTGAAGAGATCAGAGAAGGTAACATATTACAGGTGGTTCTTTGACATATATTAAATCCAATTCAAACTAGGAGCTCTCCGTCAGTGTTATTGCTAGTTAACTATTACTCTCACCATAGATATACTTAGAAAATATAGGTATGCTAAATGCAGTTCTTCAGATTTCTTACCCATATTTATAACAGCAAGCTAGAAAAGAAGGAATATGAAATTAACTTGTAACTTCTTGTCCTACTGTTTTTATACGTTTGTTAATGAGGAAGCTATCATAGCTCCATAAGCAAAATATGGCTCTGTTTCATGATGTGCTTCCAAGAGTTGGCTGGTGAAAGCTTTCCACTCATGCAAAAGGAGCTATGCATGTCCACAAAACAATCTTTCCTTCTCCAGTCTCTGAGGCCTAGTCCCCCGACATTCTCGTGGGAGAAAGGCCCCCAAATTCTATAATCTCCCTACTTCAAACAGTTGTAATCTCCCATTTTGGCAGGTAGGTAGCTGTAGAAGAACTGAATTGACCGTGTCACAAGGGCTACCTGTGTGTAGTCTTATCTCCTATTCACTGAACAAAGAGAAGTCATACACAAGAGAAAGGCATTGGCTGTTGATGCTAGACATTTCACTTCTTGGGAGCAACAGAAGGGTGTTTTATTCATTGTGCATGCTAGTGAATAGATACACAAGAAGAGCTCTCCATTTATGCAAAAATATAAAACAAAAAGCCCTTGAGTCAGAACAGCTTTTTTCAAAACCATTCATCTGACACGAAAGCTGATCTGCTCAAAGAACTAGTAGCTCCTCAGAATCCTGGAACTATCCAGTTTTACCTGATTTGTGATGTGCCACTCCCAAGACAGGATTGCTGCCTGGCATGACAGCTAGTTCTTTTTCCTCCTTGCCTACTGATATGACACACAGCTGCTAAATCACCTGCTGAGATGTGAACAATTCATCCTCCTAGGGGTAGCAAAGAGATGTCAGTGTCAGTCATATTGCTCATGCTTCTGGAACATTGCCGCAAGAGTATTAGCGGGCAATGAGTTTTCCAGGGGGTAGTACTTTGTGTGTGCCCTTCTTGCACGGAAGGGGGTTTCTGAGTGTGTTTGGAAAACAAGGCATGCAAATTGTGCTTGTTTTAAAGTAAAGTAGTCAAGGTTCTTCCAGTGTTTGATACTTGATGACTGATTCTTAGTCTCTGGGTTTTACAAACTGGTTGTTCCATGGGAGGCTATCGTTCTCACCAGATACAGAATGACCTCTCAAAATGTGAAATAACAGTACTTGCAGCATGGCCTTATTTCCTGCTAAGAGCCACACTGCTGAGAGAAGTGTGGGATTGTTGCAACTCTCTGCCTAGGGCAGTAGAGAAACAAGTGGAGTTTGAGCCTCCGAGGCAGAGAGGATATGTGTGCTTCCCCTGGGGCCACTGCAAACACAGTCTCTTAACTTGTCTATGCAGAGGATACAGGAAGAAGTCAATGTACACTAATATTTGATGAAGAAATATACATACACCCTGAGCAAAGGGCTTTCAGTAACCATTGTACAGATTGCTATTTTATAGAAACATTTGCAGCGCAAGCCACTTCATGCAAAGCAGCTAAAAAGCACAAAGAGCACCTTTAGATTTGCAAAGGCTTGAACGAAAATAATTCGGAAAGCAAGGAGGTTTTGAGGTGAATTTGATGTATCAGAGGCCTCAGGTTTTCCATAGTAATACATCTTCCTCAAAAAAAAAAGATATATATATATTTCTAGTGCAAAAATTTAACTAGGGAGGGGTGTAGGGGAGTTGTCATTAAGACTACTTTGATTAATCCTAAAATATTAAATATTTAAACATTAATAAAAGAAGAAAAGGGTATTCACACTTTACTTTTTCTTTACTGTTCCAACATTCCAGTGTGCTGTTTCCTCCATTCACCCAACCCAAATGAAGAGTCTTTTACAAGGGGCTTATTTGGATGAAGTTAGCTTTAGCGGGATGATTGCTTTGTAAAAGATAACTGGCACTGTTGGGCCAACTGGCACTGTTGTGAAAACGTCAAGGCTGACCACTTGCAGTACGCCTAAGCCAAGCTTAAGTACAGTTCAGAAACCATTTATCTTAGTGTACGTGAGTTATGTCATTTAGCTAACTGAGAGGATGTTGGATGCTGTGTCTTGGAGTTTAATGGGGTATTGGAGCAGGAGGATGTTACAGGTAGTTAGCCCCTGCGGGCCAAGAAGGAGCCTGGTAGTTGAGACCTCTTGAACATAGCTGGATCATTAAGATGAAGACCGAGAAGGGTTGTAGAAGGTTGCAAAGCTGAGATTTCTCTTAAGTCAAGATTTTTAATATCAGACTAGGCAGCAGTGCTGCCTCAGGCAAATTTCGGTGCCAGATGTGAAAGCCTTTGTAACTGACAAGGGAAGCGGCATTTCAGTTTTCTCTTGAGCAGATGCAATGGCATCTGAAGATTTGTGTGTATATCACTCTTTAGTGTTTGGAAAAAGCAAGTGGATTGGAGGGTAGATTTGTTAATCTGCAGGCTTTATATAGTTCTGGGGGTGAGTTTCAGGCTCGTCTGGACGAATTGACGTTTATTTAGCAATGTTGAATCTCCTCCCATTGTTATTCTGGGAATTGGGGGTTAGCTGAATGCTTTTTTGGATTTTAGTGGTGTGGGATTCTTTGTGTTTTGTTTTGTTTTGTTACCTGTGTGCATATAAATCTCTGCAGAAGCACTGCATATTTGCACTGAAATAACCTTAAATGTTTTTCTTCTTCACAGAGAGACCAAGAATTTCTGAAGTCTCTGTTTGTCCTGGTGTACCATGACTCTGTCTTTCCTCTTCTCCAGTCCACTTTCCTCCCCAGCTATAAGTGGGCTGAAGAAGAGTCTGAAGCATGTCGCTGGAAGGTGATTGCTGATTTCTTGAAAAAGAGCCGCGAGAATGATGGTGCGCTTCAGTCTCTGCTGTCATCAGAAAGCACTCACAAAGCCTTTGATATCTCTGAGTTGACTTATGATTTCTTAGGAGAAACAAGGAAAAATAATCCTGTAGCATGAATGGATTACAGAAGAACAATACAGGGTATAAAAGAAATGAGTAACGATATGCATGAATTCTTACTGCAGAGAAATTGTGCCTGTGCAAAACAGATTTTTTAAAAATTTTTTTAATATACTATCTGAAGTGTAATGAATATTCTAATGCATGTTAACGCTAACATTTAGCAAGAGTCTAAAAATATGTTATCACTTTAGGTAGTGGAAGCTATATTTTAAACTTTCCACTTTGAAGTGTTAGGCAAGGCTACGGTTGTCAGTTACTACATGTGCCTGGTGTAGCCAAGTTGGGTGTTGCAGTGCACCTAAGCTGAACTAATGCTGAGGCAGCACTTCTCATGCAGTTTCCAGTTAATTTCCAATTAAGTTTCAGTCAGTGAGAGTCCTGAACAGAAGACTGTCACAGCGCCCAACTAGTAGTAGTTAGGCAAGGAAAATAGCAGTGACTTTAAGAATGTTGTTGAGCAAGGTCATCCAGTGAGTAAGAAATTAATCTCTCGCCCAATCAGTGGACAGTAGGTTGCTCTTTATTTAGACTGTGTACTGTTTTCCGTTCCCAATCAGAAAAGGTTGGGTTATTCATAGGAATGTGCTTGACCCACCTACTACAAGTAGAAGCTGGCGGGAATTCAGGGCATGCTGCATTTCCCTGATGCATGGCAATGCCTCCTGTCCAGCGAGTGCCGGGGGGGATGCATGTAGGAGCTTGAAGTCGGAACACAAAGGGGAGGAGGCAAGAAGAATAGAGGGGAAACTATGCGGGGCTTGAAAGAGACGGACAAAATTTGATTGCAGGAAATGTTTCTTCCCCAGCATGTTGTAGGATTGGCCATGGAAGGTCTCCTTTTTTTCTTCCCTCCCCCTTACCCCCTCCCCCCTTCCAAACTCTGAATTGATCTTGTGGCTCGTGCTATCTGTCTATGGCAGTGTTGGCACAGCTCAGATCCTTGCTGCTTCCTTGGCCCGTGTCAGTGCCGAGGAACGTAAGGTGGGTCAAGATAACTGGAGGGTTGCTGAGGACCCCTTCAGCTCAAGGAAGTGGTGGCATACCAGGCTGGGCTAGTCTCTATGGTTATGTCCATGGGGGTGTGTCAGTTTAAACCTAGCGTGGGAGTGGTGTGGCACAGACAAATACAGGCATAACAGAGCAACTGTAGCGTCAGCTGAGAAGAAATGGCATCAGCAGGTCCCACTCCAACCACCGCTTCAGCACAGCCCGACCTGCCGACTGGAACAGCCGTGTTTAAAACAATCCCCTATGTGTTCATGCTACCTGAGATAGTGAGTATGCTGAGCTTTGCTTTGTTTTAGCACCCAGCTAATGGGGTTAAAAACCTGGGAGTAGCCCCAAAAGATCCTAAATAGTGGTATGGGAAACTACATCTTTTTTTTTTTTTTTTTTTTTTAAAGCTTATTTTGAACTCATAAAGGTGGTCTTGGGGCTCGCAGCAACATGAGGATGAGATGAGCTCCAGCACCATTCCAGAGCCTGCATAGAGCAGTCACAGAGCTGACAGAGAATTAGGAAAGCCTGAAGAGAGCTGTCTGCACCTTTGCAGAGCCGAAGCAGTTCTAGTTGTAAAATAGAAATTGGAAACTACTTGCAAATTAAGGAAATTTTATTCTCTATATTAAAAAGTCTCCTGAGGGCTTAAAGAATGTAGGCAGGTGGAATTTTTTTCATGTGTTAGATCTTGTAATTTTTTTAAACACTTCTGAGTCCAGAGGGCATCCCATGTGACCAGTTAAGGTAATTGCTGTTGTACTTTGATATGTAGTTCATAGCTGCAACCCCAACTGCCGGCAGCCTGCACTACCCACGCTTTCTTGGGTGCGTTCACTGCAGCTATTTGGAAATCACACTGTTAAACTGTCTAAGCTGTTGCAATGATGAATTTAGGTTCCCTGCCTATCTAGAAGGGAAGGGTGGTTGAAGGAAAGCTCAGCCTGAAGGAAAGGTTTTTTCCAAAGACGCTTTAAGGCTGTGTATCCTGACTCAGATGTCACTGCTTTACCCCTGCTCTACGAGCTCAGTGGTGGTGCCTTTGCTGTCTCCTCGTGAAGCTGAGGCTCCCCTTTAGGAGTGTCTCCCAAAGTGGGCCATGGGAGAGAGGTGTTCTTGTTATAGCCTAGCAGCTGGACTTTGTTGCAGGCCTGCTCCTCTGTGCTGCCCAGTGCCTGTGACGGCCAGCAGTGACTTAAGTTGATGACAGCAGGCTCAGTTCTCCTAGCAGCAGTGTATGCTTGGGGGGGGACTTTCATCTGCAGGAGACGGAGCTGCATAGGGCAGAGTGAACTTACCTAGATAACCTAGATAACCTTCTGTGTATTATTTATGCACAGTAAATAGTTTAGGTGGATCCAGAACAGCGACTCATTCTGGGCTGGCACATTGAGTTAGGTGACAACTTCTTATGCTGTGATTGCATACTGAGGAGAGCTAATGCACGAGCAGGGCTGGGCTGAGATTCATGGTTAAAGTTGTCCAATACTTTCCCAGATAAGACCATGGTTTCTGTGTTCTTTGCCAAAGCCCTCAAATTGAGATTTTTCCTTCTGTCAAACATGGGAGGAATTCTTTTGTTTTCTTGGGAAATGACTTTATTTCTTAAGGAAAATATTCAAGGGAAGTAGTTTCAGCTCATGTTAAAAAAGCATGCTCTTTTGTCATGCTCTGGGAGGGTGGAGAGCAATGGATAGTTTTACTTTGGGGTATCGTCCACTTTTTAAATAGTCTGCAAAGCTGCCTTACACCCCTACCCCACACCTTGAGAAGGAGGAAATTTCTGACTGTCGTTTTACAGATGTGAGCTTGGATATAAAGGGATCAAAGGGCTTGCTGCTGGATTAGGAACTGATGTCAAATTGGGAGAACAGCTGATAGGCTGGAGAGCAGAGGTACTGTTGAGAGAGGCTGCGGGGTCTCCATCCTAGGAGATGTTCAAATCACACCTAGACAAAGTTGCCTTGAGCAGCCTGATCCAGCTTTGAGTCAGCCCTGATTTGAGTGGACGCCTAGACTAGAGACCTCTAAATGTCCCAGCCCACCTTAACCCGCTCACGAATCTCCGTATTTTCTACCCAGCCCCCCACACTGCTATGTTAAAAGAGCAACAATGATGTGCTGAGAGGGAAACCTGCAGTGTTTGTCTGTCATGCCATTGTCTTGATCAGACAGGCATTGAGAGTGCTTGAAGCAGGGCAGATGCGCTGTCTCAGGGTGAGTGGGTGTCTGTCAAGCGCAGTGCTGTGCGGGTCTTGCTACCCCATCTCCCTGTAAATCCCGTGTTGTGCCTGTGCCCTTGGCTTGGAGGAGGAGACGGGTGCTGCTGCCTTTGGGCAGAGAGTTTGGCCAGAGCTTGCTTGTTTATAGCTGTGGGCAGGTCTGGCAGCACCCCTGGTGGATATGGCTCTCCTTTATGCTACTGACCTCTGTGGTTTCTGTATGTGCAAACAAACACCCAAGGGCTGCAATGTTTCCAGTGCTGAGCAGCCAGAACTGATCTGAGCACTGGCTGCCAAGCTCTGGGAGGAGACATGGGTGTCTGATGCAGTCTGGCACTGCTCCAGAGCTGAAATCCCATTTTTGCTTCATGTCAGGGCCATCCCCTTCCCAGGCTATAAGGGATCAGGTCTCTAGGACGTGCCCTGGGCCACAATTACTCCGTGCCCTCAGGCAGAAACGTGCCTGGAGGCTTTATGAGGAAGCCACCAATGGAAGGAGAAGCTCAGACTAATCTGATTCCTGTCTGTTGCTGCTGGCAGGGTTTGGTGTCTGGGGTGCACATTACAGCTGATGGAGAGTTTGACTTGTTTTTGTCTGCCAGTCAGGTGCAGCGAGGGGATGGTGGGAGCTCAGGCATGGTGGGGCACGGGGGCTGAATGTGAGCTCAAGTTTCACAGGACGTTGCTGCCATATGAACTCCTTCCTGTTCCCTTGTGTGTCCCTGAGGGGAAATGCAGCCCCACTGCGTTTTTGGGTCGAGGGACAGGTTTTAGGCTCATACGTGATGGCTGGGTCAGATCTTCCCAGCAAGTTCTCCTGGGTTCAGGTTTTGTGACTCCAGTCTCATGCCTGGGGAGTGTGTTGCGGCTAGCATTGGACACTCACAGGAGACTCTGGCTTTGTGTGAATCCTGGTGTTGTTCACTCAGCAGCCCAAGGAGCGTTGCCAGCCCATGCTGTCCTGGCCTCCATGCTGTGCTGGCTAGCAAGAGCCAGCAGAGTGTGGCACAAGCAGTTTGGTGCTGGGTGGCACAAGGTGTGGAATGGGTGGTGGTGGGCACAGCTAGGAGCGGTCTAATGCTGGGTTATGCAGTGGCAGACAGCTCAGGGGCAGTGTCTCTTTGCAGCTCATACACAGACACGCACGCGCAGAATGGTTGAGGTTGGAAGGGACCTCTGGAGATCATCTAGTCCAACCCCTCTGCAAACACCTCCACGCACATAGCGCAGCCCAAAGACGAAGGTCGCGTATTTTATCAGCATTTAGGATTGTCTTCCTAGAATTGCCTGTCATAAAGATGTTCCTGGCACCTCTTCCATGTATGAGAGCAACTGAGATTGGAGCTGGGCCCTCACGTGGCTCCTGTGGGCTTGTCCTGCCTGTTCTTGTATAGCACTTGTGTCCTTGCCATAGCCATGCCTAGCACTTCTTGGAGAGGTGCCCTTTGAAAGCACTCACCATGCAGGCATCTGGCCAATCAGGGTTAGCTTTGGCAGGCTGTTGGCTCATGGAGCTGTCAGGACAGCTTGGCAGGAAGTCTGATGGCTGGTCAGGCAGGAGATGCAAGCTGCTGGGAGGCCACCAGGCTGGTGCAAACAGCATCACCAGCCCTGGGCTGTCAGCCAGTGACTGCTCTGGGTGTTTAACAGTCCCTGGCGGGGGTTGCCCTCAGCTTTGGGGAAGATTCTTCAAAGGAAAATGCTTCTGCTCAGTGCTGAGCATGCTCCTCTGAGCACAGGCCACCCCAACACCACTGCTATGTGGCAGAGTAAATCGCAGCCTGCTCTTACTTGAGCTGGCAGAGCTCCTACTCCAAGGGAAGCGTCTGCAAGGACCTGACAGTGTTTGGAGCATGGCTGTGGCACTCCTCCAGCCCCATCCATGTTGGCTTTGCATTGCCTGCTGTCAGTCAGTCGCTGTCAACAGGCATCGTGGGACGGGCAGAGTCCAGCATGGGCTGTGGCTGAGTTGGGGCTGGGGGGAAGTGAGGGAAGGAGGGAGACGAGAAGGGATTCACAAGAGAGCAATTGGCTCTCCCCAACCCACGTTCACTGAAGATGGATGTTTTTGTCCCTGGCAGGTCTGTGGGGCCTGGGTCTGGATCCTCGTTGCTGCCACCTCCGTCTCTTTCCCACTGCTGCAGGGATGGGTGATGTACGTTTCCGTAACCTCCTGCCTCCTCTCCCTGCTGCTCCTTTTAAGTTACCTCTTTGGATTTCACAGAAACAATGAGAACTGGAGAGTGCTGGTAAGGATGGGCTTGGAAACTGGGCAGAAGTTGGCAGCAGCAGCTTGTAACAGCAGAGCGGGCACAAAGCTGCTGTGGTTTGAGTTGTGTTGGTTCCCAGATGATTCGCAGCCATTTTGCAGATGGATGTCCCTTCCCTCAATGGAGGCAGAGTCAGGCCTTGGTTGGAAGTGCTGGGGGGAAGGGGAGGTGGGTTGTGCCATGCCATTGTCTATGGACTGGACACCTGTCTGAGTCCTTTTTCAGGGGCAGGACAAAGGGGAAGGGCTCAGGGAGCAACAGGAGCAGTCCCCGCCTCCATCCCAGTCAACTCGCAAGCCTTTGGCTGGGCCTTGTGTTCCCTGCCTGGAAACTGGTTCCTGGGACTCCCCGTTATCTGGGAGCGACAGGATTTGACATCGAGCCTGAGGGTAATGCCTTGCCCCGGACCCTGCCATTGCGTGGTGCTGCTCTTCAAATCGCATGTGGTTTCTGAACGCTTCCCTGTGGACTCAGTCCAGGTGTCTGTGCTCCATTCCAGCACCTGTGCCTGCAGAAGGTGGACAGTGGCATCTCTTGTCCTTAGGGTGAACTGGAGAAGGATGACCCTGGCGTAGGTTTTAATCCATGCCACTCTTGGTTTTTCAGGACAGCTTGTACCACGGGGCCACAGCCATTTTGTATATGAGTGCTGCTGTCCTGCAAGCCAATGCAACCATCAACTCTGAGTCGCGCCTAGACTCACTGATCTACTACCAACTCAACAGTGCTGCATCGGTGAGTCGGGTGCTTCCAGGACAGAGAGGTTTTCTGCCCATGCCCACACTGCCATGCCCCATGGGGCTCCAATGGGGTAGCAGAAAACCTCAAGCAGGCCAAAACATCAACAATTTCTGCCTGGGGAGAAGCAAGGAGCAAATGTTTGAACTTCATTAGGGCCAGCCTGAACCAAGCCTTGTCCAGCCCAGCAGTGTGTCACACTTTGCAGCCAGACATTATGCTGCATGTCCATGAGCTCTGAATGTGCTTCCAAGGTTTGGCCCCTCTTCTCCATCACCTTAGGCAACTAGCATGGATTTCTCTGGGACAAGCAGCTCAGGGACAGCCTTGCATGGCTTCTTCCTGGGAACTGTTGAGGCATTGCCTCTCTTTTGAGGCTAGAGAGAGCTCTAGTCTGGGAGTTTTCCTCAAGCTATGGACTCCTTTCTCTCTTGCAGTTCTTCGCCTTCATCACAGCCTTCCTGTACATCCTTCATGCCTTCAGCATCTACTACCACTGAGCCCGGAGGAGACAACCACCTTTGCAACCGCAAAGCGGCAGCTTTCCAAGAGCGAGAAAAGCACCTGTTCTCAGCAAGGATTTCCCTGCCCTAACACTGTATTGTACCCCGTGGAGATGATGGTTGTTTTTGTCACTGCACAGAAGGAGGGATTTTTGTATGGTGGTGTCATGTCTGTGTGGTTATGGGGGACATTCTCACCTGGCCTGTGCACTCTGCCTCCTTGCAAGGGGAGATGTTCAGCTGCTCATGGCATGGCTGGTACCCTCTCTGATAGCTGCTACCCTTCCCTGGCCCAGAGCAGCTGTGAAACCAGCCCTGACAGACAGCGCTGGTCACACAGGATGCTGCCAGACACTATGGCTGGATAAGGGGAATTGGGTGTGTGCTCCGAGCTAGCTGCTGTCCCTGGTATCCCACTGAGCCCGACAAAGGCCAAGGAGATGCTTTCTTGGTGCTGGGTCAAGCCCCCCACTCTGATTCCAGGCCAGGATTAGGGCAGAAAATGCCCCATGCTGCCCACTGGGGCAGCACTGGGCTTCCCTACTCTGCCTTGGTCAGGTCCCTGTGCCTTGCCCTGCATCCCAGACCTGCTTCCCAGGCACCACAGCAACCTCGGGCAGGATCCTGGCAGATGCAGAGTAGAACTGTGTTGCTGCAGCAAACCTGGCCTCCTGCCAGCGCTAGTGTCATGTACAGAGCAAGTAAGTAATATATCTCCGTACAGCATTTATTCATTCTCACTATCAAATGCAGCCCTGCTGCCATCTAGAGGTCTGTGCATTGACTCTCTGGCTTAGAGAGCTTAATGCAGGCCCCTTTGAGCACCCTTGGGGCCTTTCTGACACATCCCATGGAGGCTGTGGAGGTCTTCTAAGCCCTGCAATGATCCTAATGCATCTCAGCGATGCTCATTGTTCAGACAGGTTTTCTGATCCTCAGAACTGTGCGGGCTCAGGCATGGGCCAGAGGCTCCCTTCTCCTTCAGGTCAAATACCTGTGGATGGATGTTGTATAAAATAGGGCACAGATGGCATGGGGCTAACCACCCCTGCCCCAAAGCAAGGGCTGTCTCTCACCTAACGTACTCAGGAGAAAGGTTTGTCTGACCCTGCAGCCTTCCCCAGGAACCTGCCCCACTGCTTCCTCCAAAACAAACAAAAAATTCCCATTGTCTTCCTTTCTTGCAGTTGATGCCCCAAATCTCTTCATGTCCCTTGGGGAAAGGGCAGCTCTTTATTCCCTACAGCATTCTCCTTGGTGCCTCCTGCAAAACTCACCCATCATGCTCCCAGCCTAAGGGATCTGCATCCAACCCTAAACGACCCTGTTAGGCCGAGGGTGCCGGCTTGTAGTGCCTTGCCATCGTGCCCGGTGCTGCCCAGGGTGCTTCGTCCTTGCTGTGGAGCCGGGGCACTGGCTGTGGGGAGTGGAACAGCAGGAAGGCTGATGGGAGGCTCTGGGTGAGAGCTGACAGGGTCAGTTCCCGTTATTGGAGCTGCACATGCTGTGCAGACAGGGCTGGGGAGAAGGCAGCTGCATCATCTGCTCCCAACACTGGGGCCAAGTCCTGAGGCTGGGGGCAGCTGTGGAGCCAGAAGTGCTGTATGTAGGGCCTGGCCAAAATGGGTGCTTCTTTCAGACAGTCACTGGTGTGCGGGGAGTTAACATGTATTGCTCATCTCTGGCCTTCAGACCCAGAATCCTGTAACTTCGCTGGGCATCTGAGTGAGTTCGTTAGAAAGAAACGTGTACTCCATATTATAGAGAAGGTAAATGACTCCTGTGGGGTCCAGGCTAGAAAAGCAAATAAAACAAAATGGCTTGGGAAATCTCATTATTTTAGACCATTTTTGTTATTCTGATGTACCTAACCTCTTTCCAAGATGCTAAAGATGAATGGCCAAGGGAATTTGACTGCCCCTGTTCGTCTTGGGACGTGTCTTCCTCTGTGAGAAATTTCCCAGCCCTACTGCTTGGTACATCCTGGCTTGCAGGAGCTGCTGGCTGCCCTTGTGCCCATTACTGAGCCCAGCTGGTGCAGGCAGGGAACACGCTGACATATTGTGCAGGTAAAGGGGATGAGAGGCTGCCCAGCAGCATTGGCATAGTTCACCTGAATTGCCCTCAGGTGTAAATCAGTGCTGCCCACTGCCACCCAGGACTTGGCCCTGCACACTGAATGCCTGCAGGAACAGCTCTGCTTAAAGTCCCTCAGGGCTGCCTGCCCCCCCCCACCCCCCACCCCAGAACCTCTCACGTGGCCCCGTTTGCCCCTTCCCGTGGAGGCTCTGAAGCCACCAAGAAATCCCTGGTCACAGGGTTTGGCCATACCAGTGACGTTTGTGGGTGCCTGTGGGTGCTGGCAGGAAGGAGGATGGCGAGGAAGGAGGGAGGTTGCATTTGGCAGCTACCCGCCTGCTGCAAGTCTCTCCATGGCGCAGCTCTTATTTCCTTTCAGCTGGTAAAAGCTCCTGCCAGCAGCGTCCTTTTCTCCTTCTCCAATTGCTTTGCCCTCCTTCATAGCTGCTTCCCTCTCTCCAGCTTGCTCTTCCCTTCCTATTAGCCAGAGTCCTACCAGCACAAGCCCAACTTGTTATAGCAATATATTCCATAGTCCTGGACCCTTCCAACCATTTCCGCTTGAGGTATGGCAGACAACGTCTTCTCAGGGAGGGGCAGAAGGAAATGTAGCAGCTGGAAAGACCGGGGTGACCCTGGAGCGACTAGGACCCCTCTGCACATCTCTGGGCTGCAAATCACTCCCTGGCATCCCATGATCTCAGTGTGTGGGACTCGAAGACCCCCACTGCCCTCAGTGAGAAGAATGCTCTCATTGCGGTCTCTGCCTCGTGCCTGCGGCTACATGCTTGCTCGGGTCCACAGGGTGCGGGCTCAGCACCTGGGGCCCCTCCAGGCCATCTTGCTGACTTTCTGCTACAGTTTCTATGGTGCAGTATGTGCTGCAAGGAAAATAAACCATGCAGCTTAATTTCCCCCATCCTGCTTCGGTGCCCCTCCTGCCACCCTTGCTCTGGCCCCCACTCCGCAGTTGTCACTCTGGCATGTCTGGATCACCAGAGGATAGGGAAAATCTAGACTACAGTGGAGTCAATGAGCCAGGATGTAGTGCAGAGGTAAAATGCAATACACTACATGGGAGCGGGCCAGGGGAAGGAGCAGACTCGTACTGCAGGGCCTGGCATGCATTGCCACCCCTCTGCGTGAGGAAAGGAGCCAACCAGCGAGGCACTGGGGGCAAGAAGGTGCAATGTCGTTGATTCAGTTTTACAGAGGAGAAAAAGGAAATGCGGTAGAACTTGCTCCGAGGCACATCTAAAACGAAACATCAGGACTTGGATGGGTGCAGAAGAGACTCACAGGCATCCCTCCTAACCACCAGTCTTTGCTCCTTCACTCCAGGAAGTTCCACTTCTTGCCTCTTCAACATTGTGCAGCCAGTTCCACAGGTCAACTGCAGATGTGAAGAAACACATCTGTTTCTATTGAATCTGGCAACTGATAACTTCATGTAATGCACTCTATTCTTTGTGTTATGCAGTGTAAACAATAATTCGTTATTCTTTTCCTTGTCACTCATGATCTGAGAGATCTCTTTCAAACGGTATCTGAAGTCTCCTTCCGTAATACCTAAACTAAATTTCCTTTGCTGCCTTTAAAGCTCATTCCTCCTTATCCTGAACGTAGCGCACAGGGAGAAGTTTATTTCCTTTCTATTTGCGGCACCCTTTTACATGTTTGCAGACTGTTTCAGAGCAGCTTTCCATCAGCCATTAGTAGTTTGATGGAGATCAGCTTTCTTTAGCCTCCTTGTGGGAACATTAGGTGAGAGTGTGTTGGAGGCTTTCTGAAGTCAATATACAGGTATCTTCCCTATTGAGAAGGTGTTACACTGTCAGAGAAGGGAATTGATTTGTTGTTTGTTTCTGACGATCCCTTCTTTGTTGCTATTTTCTCCTGTTATTGCCTAAAGACTCATGAACTATAGTTCTTCTAATGTTTCTGTGGGAATTGATTGGTTAATATAACTTAAATTTTCATCAAATTAATTAATTACATTTAGTTTTTAATATATATTTTTTGCTCCTCCTCCCCCCCCCCCCCTTTTTTTTTTTTTTTAAAACCTGTAGGCATCACCTTCACCCTTCCCTGGTGCTCTGATACCAGACTGGTTTCTCTTCGGGAACTGAAAGAGAACTAGTAATGGCACTGAAGTTGCTTCAGTCACTTTAATACCCTGGGATGAATTTCACTAGGCACAAATATTTGAAAACCTCTTAACTTATCTCCTGCCAGTCTT